ATTAAAGTTTTTCGGAAGATTGTGTGGCAAATACTTGGTAATACTACCAACTACGTTTAGGATTTTATCTAGTGTAGCAATTACTTTATTGAAAATGTCATCCACACCAGTCAGCCTTCCAAGTGTTTGTTGTATCTTCTTGATCTTGTCTATCAGCCACTTCCAATTTTTAACGCGGCCCAAAACATCTTTCGCAAACTTGATAACTTTTCCGATGAGGTTTATCGGTCTCAAAGGCTTAAAAAGGTTCTGGACAAAGAGAACAATTTTATTAACGAATTCTAAGAAACTGTTAATGTGTAAAGGAAGAAATCCAGCAAGTTTGTCTTTAAATTTATTGATTTGCTCGGCAATTACGCTTGTGATGCTATCAAACTGCTTTAACAATTCGTCTCCAGCATCGGCCACGGCGTGAATAAGATCTTTCGGAAAGTCGTTCTTAAAACTGGCTGACGCCTTAAAAGCAGCCTTTCCACGTAAAACGTCAAAACCGAATTTGAGAATGTAAGCTGAAACGAAAGCCCTGTTGTCTAAGTTCACTTCAAAGCTCCCACCAAAGATACCAATTCTCAATCTGACTTGATTTACGAACTGTATCCCGGATTCTGCTCCGAGCCATTTGCCACCATAAGTCTTCACCCATCGCTTGGAAGGACCAAGGGCGAATTCTCTGGGCCGAAGGAACGGCAGAAGTGCACGCTTACGCCGATGAATTACACTCCGTTTCTTTCGCAAGTAAACTGCTTTAGGGTGGTCACCATGGTTTTCAAGAAATTCGTTTATTGAAGAATCCAAGGCTTCACCTTCAGGGGCGTGCCATAATGCTTCCTCCAAGCTTTGAACCACTGAATCGGTTAAACGTTGGTGGCGCTCAACGAACACATCAACGACTGCAGCTTTTACCTCAGCGTGTTCATCTACGTGAAGCGAGCGCATGAGATGATGATTAGTATGCTCAGGGGGAAGTTTGCGCATGGCACTGATCACCGCTGAGCGGATACCAGAATTATCATGATCAATGTGCTTCAAGATAACAGAAAGACCAGAATGATGACCAAGGTTTCCAAAGGCCCAGATGTGGTCCCTTAACTGCATCTCGTGATCGTCGCTATCAGGATGGTAAAGGCCTGATTTATTCCTGTATCTGTTGTGAACCATTTGGGCTACTTTGTCACACAGAGTTTCATTGTACCCTGATGTCTTGGCTCTAGCAGCCAGGCCGGCTAATACCAGCATGGTAGTAGCAGTAACTTCATTTCCTTTTTCCTCCTCGGACATGAGCTGTGACAAAGCATCAAACAGTTGTGAGTAGAGTGGTCCTTCTGGCAGATGGAAGATTCCTAAAAGCAAAGCTTCGTATTCTTCACTACTGAGAGGTCTCTGGTATTGATCCTTCAACGCTTGTGCTAAAGCATTCTGGGCCTCGTATTTGCCATGTCCAGCAAGGGCGGCCGCATACACTGCCAGAGACGTCAGGTTTTGGTGATTACGGTACTGAATCAGTTTCACGATCGAGCGAAAACTAGTTTTGTCGTCACGAACCATGCCATGTAGCTCATTAGAACAGTCAGCGATCTCACGCTCCTTTATGCTCTTGTCAGTAAAACAACGTAACACCTCATACAAAGGCCTCGGCTTCTTTTTCGCCTCTCCGCCCATCTTGGACCATTTGATCTTCTCCGTTTGTGTGAATTGAAGACTATCACTTGTGAGCGATCGTACTGTTTGTAGATGTTCCTCTTGGATGGTGGATCGCTTAGAACGTAGATGCTCGGGCTCTGTACAATCACGTAGCGTTAGCTTGCTATATCCTTTGGTTGACATCTCGATATCTTGCTCTTGATCCCCAAAATCTTTGAAATTTTCCACTCTCGGATGTCCATCAGGAGGTCTGAAAAATGCCTCGTTTGTGCGGTAAACGTGATTGACTTTTCCATCTTTCAAATGAACATGAGCACTATGGAGAGATTGAACCTTGTGGCGG